TCCGGGCCGGAGAAGGACACCCGCTCTCCGCATTTGAAAATGGGGTTTCCAAGTTATAAGATCCGCAGCGTCTGATGGTAAAATCCGACGGCATTATAACAGTTATAGGACTGGAAGAAACGAGTCCCCTACCTGCGTGCAGTACTCGCCTTCGTAACTGTAGTGCAAGAGCACTTCACAAAATTCTACGTATCTACAATCCTAACAGAAGGTATAGCGCTAGAAAATGTCTTTACATTGTTTCTAAAATACGTTGGAGAAGTGTAGCATGAAGCCTCATATTCTCACTTTGGTCTCCAGTCATCACGTGCCTTATAGAGCAGGTAGATTTCAAGAAGGTGATCAGATTACGTGACATGCGCCCTGCACGCTGTGAATGGTCACGCATGCAGAAATGACAAATGTGGCTTCCTGCCGAATGTTTTCATCTCTACTGGTTTCTTTCTAGTCTTTATTAACTTAAAGGATATTCTATTTAAAATTCCCAGGTTGAGGGGGGAGATAAAAATTGAGGTGCTGAAGCAAAGATCAGAGCTATATGATCAGTAATATTCAGATTTTATTTATCTATGTATTTAAATATATTCATGGATTTATATGTACATATTTAAGTATAATAGGCAGTGGTGGTAAGTATATAGAGACATCTCCAGAATTAAAATGCCTTTAAAATTTTAAGGATCTCAAAGTTATAAAGTTATAAACACAAAGACAATAATCAGCGTAAAGAATAAATACATAGGCAATAAAACCAGCTTTTAATTACTTTTCAATTACGTTTCTTGTCGTTATCATCCATTAAGGTAAATTTAAGAAAACGCTCGTGACACTTTTATTTTTGTGTCTTATCATTCCCACCGTAACCAGAATCTAAAACTCCGCTTTTCAAACATGGACCTAGTGGAAGTTAAGCGGAAATTCAAAGAAAAGACAGAAGCCATCGATGAAGGATAAAGACGTGTCTCAGAAGAACGGACGCCTTCCAGAAGGAGAGAGCAGATGACAATTACTGCACGAGCTGTCTCTCAGGCCTTCCTGACTTTGAACTTTGAGAAGACACTAACCAGAATCTAAAACTCCGCTTTTCAAACATGGACCTAGTGGAAGTTAAGCAGAAATTCAAAGAAAAGACAGAAGCCATCGATGAAGGATAAAGATGTGTCTCAGAAGAACGGACGCCTTCCAGAAGGAGAGAGCAGATGACAATTACTGCACGAGCTGTCTCTCAGGCCTTCCTGACTTTGAACTTCGGGAAGATACAAAACAACAACAATAAAACAAACAAACAAACAAACAAAAAACAGGAGTCAAAGACAGGTCCTCAGGAAGGAATGCAACCTGCAAGGACCTGGAAGAAACGAGTCCCCTGCCTGCGTGCAATACTCGCCTTCATAACTGTAGTGCAAGGGCAGTTAACAAAATTCTTCGAGGAATGCAGACCCTCGGAGGAAACAGGACGAACGTGACAACGGTGGGAAAGAGCGAGGATGTGACTGTGCAGTGTGGAGAACACGATCCGGAGGGAAAACCCGATGTTTACAGCTTTCCGGACCAGGAGGAATTGTTGTAAAAGGGATTTCAGTGGACTTACAAAAAAAAAAAAAAAACCACGATAAAACTTTTTCTATCTTTTTCTAGACGTACACATTTTTATCAGGAACCTGGAGAAGTGTTAGAACCCAACAAACTTTGCATTTATTCTACTCATGACTATGGTTACAAAGATAATCTTTAATAATAAATAAAAACAGAATTTACTTTAAAGAAGATCTTTAGAGATGGTATCGGGCAATAGTTAAAAATGCTAGTGCTAAGTTGCCTGGGTTTAAATTTCTAGCTATGTGATGTCAGGCAAGTTATTGGGTCTTGCTGTGCCTCAGTTTCTCAATCTGTGAAATGGAAAGACTAACAGTATCTGCTCCAGGGGACTGCGGTACAGACAGAATGAATTGGTAGACCTAGCGAGTGAGAGCTAAGCGCTGACTCATCATTAATTTATTTAACAAGTATTTATTAACCTCCTACTAACATAAAATATGGAGCTACACGCTCCCTGGGTAGGTTATTGGGAGCTGGTAAGAGAGAGAAGATGCATCAAATATATTTCCTGCCTTCAAAGGATGACACGAGGAAGCAGGAAAGACGGGATCAACACAAACAACAGAATAAATTTAAAAAGGGGCAGATGGTAAATAATATTAGGAAATAATAATTTTCTTAGGTCTCGTAGCTCTCAAGAAGAATGTCCTTATTCTCAAAAAGCACAAACTGATTTATTTAGGGATGAAGTGTCATGATGTCTGCAATTTACTTTGAAATTATTTTGCAAAGAAAAAAACCCAAACTTTTTACGGACATACACACACATAAAGCAAACATGCCAACACGTTAGTCACGGCAGAAGAAAAAAGAAAGAAAAGACAGCAGGGAGGGTTAAGTGCTGGCTCAGAACTCCAGAACGTTTTTTGCGAACTTGAGACCCTTTTCAAATGTGTTTTCACAGTGTGACTGACTCGAGAAGGATCCTGGAGACACGGGCTCTTTTTAAAGTGCAAAGTGCTCTATAAATAGTTTCCACAACCACCAACCGGAAAAAAAAAAAAAAAAGGCCAGTGGAAAGAGCTGCTTTAAAAATACTGGTCACCAGTGATGCGCTCCTGCTAAGAAGCTTCAAAACATTGCAATGAATCCTTCAGAACTGTCACCAGGCCTCCTTTGCCTGGTCCCTTCCCGGTGAAGGTGACCCTCTGAACACAAGTCTTCATCCCCTCAATTCTAGATCGTCGCCTTTTCTCTAGGCTTCCTCTAGACGGCGTGGAAGAACCGACAAGCCATTAGATGAAGGAGAGGAGCCCTAGGCAATGCCATCGATGCTCAGGTTTAAACTACGAGCTGCAAACTAACGCGTCTGTTTTCACTCGGCAGAGACCTTTCCTCCCACGTCTGGCCTCACAGAGCAAATGCCCACTTGACATCTCCACTTGACTGTCACGCGGGCTCCTCAGACTCAACATGTCCGAAGAGAAGACTGCTCGCCCACCCTTCTTTCTCTCCATGAATGGCTCAACCAACAATAAAGTGACAGGAGCCACGAACTTGCCACCTCACTCACTCTGCCTCGCCCTCCATAGCTCATCTATCTGTCTCCCAACCCCCTCTGTTTTACCTCCCAAGTTCTCTCAAACCCACGAGCTCTCTCTTTCTCAAATTCTACCCTTCTCTTCCTAGCTGGCAACATGTATGTCCTGGATTTTTGCGATGGTCCCCAAACTTCTCTCCTTATTCCCACCCTCATCTCTCCCCAATCTATACTCCTCCAGAATGAAAATTTTAAAAGCCCATTAAAATTAATCAATGGTTTAATAGCAATCATTATTAGGAAAACGATAACGATAAAGCAGCTAATGTTTATTGAGCTACTTTTCGGGGAGCAATCCAAGCAAAGGTAATAGAGCACTAGAGAGTTTCCTAAGTCCTTCCACAAAAATCCCATCCGATCTCAGAATGGCCCTGGGAAGTAAATGTGGCAAGTAAACCACCTGCCACATTTACTAGAAAAGGGAAAGAAGAACTGGGTTGGGGAGGCGAATTTATGATTGGCAGGCAATTAGCCGGTGACCCCCACACACAGCCTACAATCAGAGTTAGGTGACAACTGTCTAACCCAGGGTGTGGCAAAGCTGTGAAAACTGAGAAGTGCTCTACAGGCAAGTGACAGTTGGTGCTGCTCCTGTAGTCAGCAGCCCCTCCACCGTCTCCAAGTTTTCCATTTGTTTAAGAGATTCGAGGGGAGGATGAGGAGTGGGGCCGGTCCAGCACATGTAATTCCGTCGTCATGGTAACCAGTGCATCTGAGGCACACCCAGGCAGAGAAGATGATAAGGAGGCTGGCCGCAGCCATCCGCTCTCGGGGAGCAATCCAAGCAAAGGTAATAGAGCACTAGGGAGTTTCCTAAGTCCTTCCACGAAAATCCCATCCGATCTCAGAATGGCCCTGGGAAGGAAGCAGTAAATCACCTGCCGCTCCTGCCCAGGTGGGCAGGACCCAAGGATAGGATTCCCTCCTTCAGCTGATGTTCAGGTCTTCAAAATATTAAAGACTAAGAGGCGGTGCCCACAGTAGGCACTGGCCCTGGCAACCCTGAGCCCTCGGTTACCTGGGTGGTGAGTGGCCTTTTGTCAACACCCATCCGGCACCACTGTCCTCTGGCCTCACAGCCAGGGGCAGCTTGGGGACATTTTGCATACAGGGACGCTTCCTTCCGCACTCACACGCTACACTGAATCTGCAGAGAATGTCATTCTATTCTATGTAGTTGCCATTGTCACTTCTGTGGATCAGGAGCTTGCATGCTGCTTTTAAGAAAAAAAAAACTAATACCATGATATTCTTGCAACATCAAAGGTGTAAAGTAATTCCTTCTATGACATCCCTCCAAAGCAGAAATAAAATGAAAGTTCCTCCAAGTACAAAATCATTCCCTGAACACCAGCTCAATAGCTGTGATTATCCATCTGCTTCTTTGGATAAAACTATTTTTACAAATAAAAGTAGCTCTAAAGATATGGCTTTCCAGGTGACTTGAAGTTTCTGAGATGTTACCACGTCGATTTAAAACTAAAAGCGGGAAAACTTTAGGCTGAAATTTTTTTTTATGTAAACTGGTATCAAACACCAAACAATTTAACAATAAGAATCTAAGTGAAATTCACTATTAGAAATAAATTTCATTTTACTATATTCATTTTCAATACACGAATAAAAAAAAATCACAGAAATTCTTAGATTATGTCTAATATTCAAACATAATTTTCAAGCCATCCTAGCACAGAGCAAAAAAAAAAAAAAAAAAACCATCTTACCCTTTGTTTTATAAATGGAACAAAATAGGAGGTTCCCTTGTATAGTGTTTTTCAGATACTTAAAGTATAAAACTGACCAAGTTAGTTTAGGATTTAAAATGGAAAATGAAATATGTTCCTGGGGTGATCCTATTTACCTTCAGGACACTGGCAGGTGAATCCACTGAGATTAGATATGCACGTTGCTCCGTTTCTGCATGAGTCTAGGATACAATAATCAATCTTGGATTGGCAAAGCTCTCCGGTGTAACCTGAATAAAACAAGTGAGACATTTTTATAAAATATGTTATTCCAAAACTACCGTGAACCATCCCACAAACCAATGGAGTCGGCTAGCGCCCCCAACACAGGCAGCAGCCCTGAGCTCACATCTCCCACCAATGCTCTATCTTAGTTTTGTGACTTGAAGCCATCATGGCAAGTAAGAGTAACAGTTCAAAACTCATTCACTTTGCAAAAATCTTTATTGCAAAGACAGACTTTTCTTCGTCATTAGCTCTGTGTTTTATTTTGAGATGTGAGCCAGAATCTTCAAAAGCTGAGACTGTATACCAGCCCCTGTTCCTAGCTTCCTTCTGCTTGGTCCAGTGAAGATGATGGCCACTTCCCCTGGGTCATCCCAAAGCCTATTAAAAAAAAAAAAAAGGCACTAGGAAAATTTCTCGGTATTAAGACTTTTTAATTTGTAATATTTGAGAGCTAGAACTTTCTGTGTTCATTCCATACTGTATCCCCTGATTTTAAAGAGAAAGAGACTGAGGCACATATCATGCTAAGCACATGAATATGTTAATTCTTATTTGAATCGCAAGTCCAACTCAGTAACTCTGGGAAGCCAGCCTCCAGTTGGAAAGTTATATAACCACACACTCGTGGTGACAAAATAAGGACGTACAGCTATTGGAATACCTGCATAGTCAAAAAAGCTTATATACGTTCCAAATTTTTTCCTAACTTTGAAAACAAAGCCCTCCAGAAAGACAAGTTTTAAAAAAAACATACCAGCATGTTTTTCATTTTAAAGTGAAAAATGGTGAGGAAAGAAAATTTGGAAAATACAAGATGTAAAATATAAAGAGAAAAAAGTTGCCCTTAGTTTTCTTATTTGAGTGACAGAACTATTAATACTTTGGAGATAATTCATAACAAATTGCTATGCACAGGTATTTCCTACACAATTATAATCATACTGGAACATTTTACATCTTTCTGGGATGTACATAAAAACTTGTCTCTCTGAATTATTAGTTTGAAAGACTGTCATTAGCACTAGAGTTTGATATTTGCAAAAATAAATCGATGATATTACAAGAGAGATGATTTGCCTGAGCTTCAATTACCTGCCACACTAGTCTAAATTATAGGTTGTGAATGTGGAGGCACTTGTTCGCAATCCTGCTCTTTCTTACGTACTTGAAAACAGTCTAGGAGGTTCCAGCTAATCGGCAGGTATAAAAAATAAAAAGAAGAGTCAAACAATCGTGAACTAAAAACCCAAACACCAAGATAAAAAGCTATTTCAAAATTCCAGAACAAAATATTTTGATATGATATTATGTTAAAAAATATATATTTTGAAATGAAAGCTCTAACTTTAGAATGAGAGAGAGCGAATTGTTTTTAAGGGAAGTAGTACAAATTACTTTTTGGCTAAAAAGAAATAGCTAGTATTTGTCATAGAGCGCTTACTTTTCCTCCTAAACATTAGTTCATCCTCACTGCAACCCTGTGAGGTCATTACTATTAAAATCATACCCATTTTACAAATGAGGAAAACTGAGAATTAGAAAGGGTAAGCAATTTCCACAAAATCACACAGGCGGTCAAACCCACACAAAGTTAAACCCATGAGCCTACATCCTTGCATATAATATTATGCCTAAGGTAATACGCATTGCATCATCAATAAGCATGTATTTTCCATGGAGGAAAGATAACAGAAAATAACAGATAAGAAAAAATGTAGACAAACACAGAGATAGATATAAAGTAAATGCCACAAATGTTCAAAGATCGGCTCCAGCCTATGTGGTTATGCTTGGGCTGGAGGTGCCAAGAATATCTATTCTTTTTAAAACCTGCTTTCAAACGTTCTGTGATATGGCTAGAAAAGTACATTTATGAAAAAGATAACCAATTAGAGAGCATTGTTTAAAGGATTAAGCATCATGAATCCTGTCAGTAGAAAGACTTTAGAACTGTGACCACGGAATCGCGCAAAACCATGAAAAACAGGAGCCGATTGGATACCATCTGTAAGAGGTGAGTGTCCCTAGCAGACAGAAAGAATGTGAGAAGAAAGCAAGGCTCCATGAACTTCAAAGTTCCTTGGAGAAAATTTTAACATTTTCTTTGAACTTTTTATTTGGGAATAGAAAACATATTTAAATTAGAGAGACTAGTGTGTAACTATCACATATCCATCACCCAGTTTCAACAATTACTAATGTTTTGTCCATTTAATTTCATCTAGTCTCCTTGTATTTTCCTATTTTTCATCTGTAAAGACATCAATACGAATCCTTGACTAAAGCGGATTTTTAAAAGATCACTGAAAATGGCCTTTTGGGAATAGAAAACATATTTAAATTAGAGAGACTAGTGTGTAACTATCACATATCCATCACTCAGCTTCAACAATTACTAACGTTTTGTCCATTTAATTTCATCTAGTCTCCTTGTATTTTCCTATTTTTCATCTGTAAAGACATCAATACGAATCCTTGACTAAAGCAGATTTTTAAAAGATCACTGAAAATGGCCTCTTAACTTCATGTTTGGTCCCATTTACAAACTTGAACAGTTTAAACTATATTTATTAACATCGACAATTTCTCCTGAAGAACCAGAGTCACCTGATAATACACAAATCTTCCCACGAACTTAATTTGGTCCTATCTCATAAATCTAATAGTTTAAACCTATAAGCGAGATGAATCCTAAATACTGTCACATGCTCCAATGCCGTAGGGAAGTTTAGTAAGATTTCCACCTGAGAAGCTCATCCACATTCGTGGTGCGCAGGGCGTTTGGATTGTCCTCGTGGTTTCAGGGTCCCTTTGGCCTTCACGGCCTGCGACGGCTCACTGTAACAGAGTTGTCTCACTCAAATGCCAACAGTCCCCCCAACAGTAAGGAGCACCAGTCAAGGCACAGTCACTGTATCATTGCTTTTGTTCCTGAGCTTTAAAGATTTTGAAAACATGGGAAACACAAGACTACCCATAAAAAGACGAAATGCAGTTGGCTAGACCGGTAAAGTAGTATCTGCATATTGGCACGCCTACGGGGTCAGGATAACTGGAGATGAAAATCGCCAGCAGAGCAGTGGGGGAGAGAGGGGGGAGGCAGGGAGGCTGGGCTGGGCGGGCGGGTTAAGGGACACCTGAGCATCCTCAGCTGCATGCGGCCGGTTATCGGCTACTGGCAATAACCAGCCTGTGAATCTGCTGAGCTGTACTTCAAGACCTGAGACCTGTCCATGCCGGGCCAGGTGTTACTGTCGCCCTCAAGGGCGTTGCTGGCTGGAAGTTCCAGGAGTCCCGCTGTGGATGCATTTCTCCCAACCAGACGGCCGAGGCCAGCAGCGAGAAGAGAGAGGCAGAGGGCGAGGACCCCAACCACCTGAGGCTGGTTCAAGAGGCTCTTACACACACGTGGGTCACTGCCTGGACCCTCAGGGACCAGTGTCTTACCTGCGGCTCTCAGACAGGTATTGATGGTGATCTATGTGTAACGCTCTGAATTGAATACCTAAGGCTGACACATATCATCCTGCCTGTGTCTTGTTTTTTCACTGATGTTATAACCGAGGCGTGATCGGTAGGAATATAAATGGAAACAAAAGACCATTAAAGCTTTGCCTGGGTCCTTTCTGCCATCCCGTTGAAAGTTAGTCTCTTCCCCCAGGAAATAGAGTAACCACACTCCTCGCAAATAATAGATATTTTCTTGTCCGACCAAAACGGTGCCAGACACACAAAGGACCTGGTAGGAGGTGTTCAAATAAATTAATGATCGCGTCAACACAGTGGGTAGGAGAGGCAACGTGTGGTGGCCATTCAGCGTGTTCTGGAAGAATCGGACCTATGGTTCCAATCAAAATGTTTAGTAGTTGATTTTCACTTGATGAATTTCAGTTCTCGTGGGGGAGGGAAGGGAGCTATTGACATGTGAGTGAGAGACAAGGCTAAACCGGTACATATCGAGATGCCTAACGACGCTGGAGAATCGCTATGATTTAGAAGTTTAATTCTTATAAGGGAACGAACACAAAAGATAATTTCAGATCGTCTTCCCTGTGTTTAGAAGCCACTCTAGGACATGAAAAACGTCACCCCTAGAATCCCACCCTCACCCTGACTCGGTATGCTTCCACGGATGCCCCCACCCATCACTCAAGTCTTTGCTCAGAAATCACCTGCTCAGCCCACAGCCATCTCGCCCGCCTCCATTCCTCACCTCAGCCCTTATCGCTACTCGACAACAGACACACGCATACTTGTTACCTCCCCACCTTGAAGGTGACCCCACTGGAGCAGTGCTTTGTCCCCTTCATGCTCCATCACATGGCACTTATCATTACCTGAAATGATTTTCTTTATTGGTTCCCTTTTGGGAACATAAACTCCCTAAGAACCGGGACTTTTGTCTATGTTGTTAATTGCTGATTCAACATTTAAACATCTCCTGGCACAGATATTTGTCGAAGAAATGAATCGACTTGCTTAAAGCTCTTCCCTAAAGTCAGCTACATCTTCCAAGTGGTGTGGGCCTCTCCCTGAGTGCAAATACTCAGGGCGGCCTGGGCAAAACGTGCTGGCCATGAAAATAAAAAACGGTCGCCTCAGAAACGTGTTTTCTGAAGTCGCCATGCGATCTGCAGTGGGCTGTGCACGTTCCCCCGCTTCTCAGCTTCGGTCTTGCTTCTCCGACCAGCGTTCAGCACAGGGTGCGGGCAACAGGGCGCATCGACGAATCTGAAACAGGACTCTCTTCCCCTGCAATGGCCCCTCCCCGGGAGGAACTCCTTAGGTCTGCGGTTCTCCACCGGGGTGTTTTTCCTTCCTCAGAGAACATTTGGCAATGCCTAGAGAAACGTTACTGTCACATCTACAGGGACGCCACCGGTATCTCGTGGGTAGAGAGGTCAGGGACACTGCAAAACATCCTACAATACACAGGACAGTCCCCTATGATATAATTATGCAGCTCAAAATGTCCCTGAGAACGCTAAAGTCGATAAGACCT